AAAAATCTAACAATGAGTAAGTTTGAGGTTAATTTAAAAAATTTCTCACATCTTAGCTATGCTCTTTATTTTTTTATTCAAAATGCCTCGTTTTTAAACCCATACAAATAACTAAGCCAACAATGGTTTGGTCCGAGTAGTCATGCGAAAATAATTTTTATAAATAAGTTCAGAATTTCAGAGTGATGGACATTTTTGAGAACAGTTTTGGATATTACACGACCAGGCTTACGACCTGAACTAAGTCACTTAAAATGTACGTGAAGATTTCTTTATTTTGATACAGCGTGTAATTATTGAAACCTAAGTTTTTTAGATGTTATTCTAGACTCATGCATATATGTATGTATGTAGGTACATATGTATGCCAGTTGAATTTTTTCTGGAATCGCATGTAATGCAATTTGTGGGCAAACACAATCGGTTTTGTGTTACGCGGAAAATAAACGCAAATGTATTTTTTTATTTGTCGATATCATCAAAATTGCATTTTCGTCGAACATTTTTTCGTTCTAATTCGTATTTTATTGGAAGTTGAAAATAATTATATATCGTCATTAGACACGAACAAAGGCGCGCTAGTGTTTCGACAGCGAAAAAAGATGCGTAAAAAAAATTTAAGAAAAAAGGCGGTTAAGAAAAACTTCGGCGAAGAAAGACGCGTAGTCATAGATTTATACTCGGTCAAAGACTGTCACTTCAGCATCATTCCTTAAATATTTTTTGGGGAATTTACATACTGTTACACCCGCAAACATAGTTGACTGCGAAAATAAGTTTACGCGTCCTTCTTCGCCGTCAAATATTTTAACGCGTCTTTCTTCGCCGTCAACTATGTTATGAGTCTTTCTTCGCAGAAGTTTTCTTTAAGCGCCTTTTTTCCGGGTCAACTTTTGAGCTCGCGTGTTTATTCGTGTCTAGTGACGATATCTATTCGATACTATGGGTGATGCCATCTGCCGCTTTTTAATTTTTTTTACAAAAAAACAAAGATGACATTGCGCTTTTCATAAAAAAATAAGAATGCATTTTTTTTTGCAAAATTTTTGCCTCAATGCCTACATTTTGGTATATATGGCATTGAGGTAATTTTTGTTTTTTAAGAGATTAAAACATTCGCATTGAACTGAAAATTTGTACCGATGTTGCGAACACCATTATAAATAAAATATGAAAAGTCTCCGACAATTCCACATCCGCAAATAAATTTATTCGAGGACAAAGGAGAATATTGTGAAGAACACAGCTTTTTGAATCGTTATATCTCAGAAGTGGTTATTCCTAGGAAAACCAGTGCTATAACAGTTTTTATAGATAATTGCATGATCTACACTTTTGTGACGCCTATTTTTATGGTATTACTTACAGTTTGGCTGAAAGAAGAAAAAAAACAATTTAAGTGACTTTTGACCTCTAATACATTTTTTTGCGGATGTGGAATCGATGTGGACTTTTCCCATTTCATTCATAATGGCGTTCGCAACATTCGTACCAAATTTCAGCTGAATGGGAATTACTGTAAGTTTACCCCCGGGGCTTGAAATTGCTTTGCTATTTTCAATGCATTTTCAATTGCTGAGCGAAAAGCGATAGCAGCGAAAGAAGACAGCAAAAGCGAAAAGAGGCATGAAATCATTACAGCGCAGTTTGTTTTTGCTTAGACAATCAGCCGAAGCAACCAGTTTAGGAAAATTTGCTATTGCTTCAAGCAGTATGTTTGGTGTATTCTCATTTTTGCTTTTGCTTTTTTCTTTACTGTGTTATTCTCCATAAATACATACATATAGTCTGTTCCTTTGAACTTCGGACTAAAACCTGTGGAACTGTCACTTTACTCTTTCAAGTGAGAGTAAAAGGAGAACATATGCAGAAGTGCACGGAAACGCACAAAGCACTATTTCCTGTAAAAACGTCAGTCGGTTTGTTTACATGTCACTTGTACAACACTGATTTGGCTGAAATATCACTAACTAATTATTAAAAACTATACATATTCAAATATTTCTTTGTTTACTTTTTTTTTACAAATATAAGGTTCCTTGCTTACACCGCTTTCTGTTTTTGTTTGCATATGCAAATCAGCTGATCGTTTGCCACTTACAGGAGAAAAAAACTCCGGACTAAATCCTGTAACTTCTGACTAGGAACAGTTGCTCAGATACTTTCTGAAAAGTGTTCCCACTTACAAAGTTCGCAAAGGCAAAAAGCCTGATTATGGCAACTTAACTTAACTTAACGGAACGTAGAACTTTGAGAATCAAAATGAAACAGATTTCGACGTGGCATTAAGTTACGTTAAGTTTCGGCTGTTCAATTATAAGCAACGCCCATTTAACAGAATTTTTAAGAGAGAGCCGTAAGTTACGTTAAGTTGCCATAATTAGACCAAAAGAATTCCATCTGTGTTCGTATGGACGCTCACACACATCTGTCAAAACTTGTCGTTCACATGCGAATGCTTTGCGTACGCACATAGTTGAGTGTGAGCTTGAAAAAAGGCATATAGTGTACTTTAAATTAGTTTTAAATAAATAATTCTGAAATATATTTTAATTCTCTATCTATTGATGTATCAACTATTGCAAAAAGTTAAGTAATAACGAAGACATTGGTCAAAATAAAAAGCTCACGCTCGCATTGAACTGTATAGCAGGTTGTATTTTTCCTGCAAACCAAAGTTCCCGAAATCTTCAGGAGTATCTCATTTCTGTAACGATTTTTTACGAATCTTCAAAGAAACTTATATCAAGTGGTTGACACGAACTCTTAAAGAAATTTCTTTACGAAAAGTAAAGAAAATTCGGAAATAATTCTGCAAGAAATTCTTCACAAAGCAGCATTATTTTCATTGCTTTACCGATTTTCTTCCGAAATTTCGTAAAAGAAGCGAAGTGTGCGCAGTTTATTTTATTTTAGAAAATTCGGCAAAAAATCAGATGAGATCTTTACGAATTCTTTAAAATTTCTCTACAATTCAGAATACTCTGAAAAAATGGTTTGCCACTCGACTCACACACCTGCTCTCTGAGAGCACGCTTCAGCAATCCGACATACGCGAGCAGTGGAACCACATTTCCCGATCATTAAGTACCGCTGCCGAAGAAGTAGTTGGATTTCAGCGAGCCCGAAAGAACAACTGGTACGATGAGGAATGTCAAGAAGCCGCAGAGAAAAAAATGCCGCCTACAGGGCCACGCTGCGATCGGGCGCAACGCGAGCCATGTGGGACCGTTATAGGGAACTGAAGAAGCAAGCGAGACGTATTTGCCGCAATAAGAAGAGAGAGGCCGAAATACGTGAGTGCGAGGAGCTTGAGATGCTGCCCGACAGGAGGAACGCCCGAAATTTTACCAGAGAGTTAGGCGACTTACGGAAGGTTTCAAGACCGGGGCAAACTCTTGTAAGGACAACAATGGCGACCTAGGGACCGATGTCCAGAATATACTTAAATTGTGGAGGGAACACTTTTACAACCTACTGAATGGCAGTAGCGCTGAAAGTAGTGAAGAAGACGAACCCGAGTCCCCAGTCGATGAAGATGGAGTAGCTGTCCCACCGCCTGACTATGACGAGGTACGAATAGCGATTACGCGGCTGAAAAACAACAAAGCTGCTGGAGCTGACGGCCTGCCAGCCGAGCTATTCAAGTACGGCGGCGAGGAGCTGATGAGGTGCATGCATCAGCTCGTATGCAGAATATGGTCAGATGAACGCATGCCCGACGACTGGAATTTAAGTGTGCTCTGCCCAATCCACAAGAAAGGCGACCCCGCCATACGCGCCAACTACCGCGGAATTAGCCTTCTAAGCATAGGTTACAAGGTCTTATCGAGCGTATTGTGCGAAAGACTGAAGCCCACCGTCAACGAGCTGATTGGACCTTATCAGTGTGGCTTTAGGCCTGGAAAATCCACCATAGATCAGGTATTCACAATACGCCAAATCTTGGAAAAGACCCGCGAGAATAGGATCGACACACACCATCTATTTGTCGATTTCAAAGCCGCTTTCGACAGCACGAAGAGAAGTTGCCTTTATGCCGCGATGTCTGAATTTGGTATCCCCGCGAAACTAATACGGCTGTGTAAAATGACGTTGAGCAATACCACCAGCTCCGTCAGAATAGGGAAGGACCTCTCCGAGCCGTTTGATACCAAACGAGGTTTCAGACAAGGGGACTCCCTTTCGTGCGATTTCTTTAATCTGATGTTGGAGAAGATAATAAGAGCCGCAGAACTGAACCGCTCAGGCACAATACTTTACAAGAGCGTACAATTGCTGGCGTATACCGACGTATCGATCTTATCGGTAAAAACAAGGGCTACGTCTGGTCTGCCTTCTCGGGATTGGATAGAGAAGCAAAGCGAATGGGTCTGGTGGTGAATGAGGACAAAGCGAAGTATCTCCTGTATCACACAAACAGTCAGAGCATACGCGTCTTGGCACCCACGTCACTGTTGACAGTTACAAGTTTGAAAAAGTTGATGACTTCGTTTATTTTGGAACCAGCATTAACACCAATAATAATGTCGGCCTTGAAAACCAACGGAGAATCACTCTTGCCAACAAGTGCTACTTTGGGCTGAGTAGGCAATTGAGAAGTAAAGTCCTCTCTCGTCGTACAAAGATCACACTCTATAAGTCACTCATCATGCCTGTGCTGGTGTATGGCGCGGAAGCATGGACAATGAAAGCATCTGATGAGGCGGCTCTTGGAGTTTTCGAGAGAAAGATTCTGCGAAAGATTTACGGACCTTTACGCGTTGGTGATGGCGAATATCGCAGACGATTTAACGATGAGCTGTATGAGCTTTACAACGATATAGACATAGTGCAGCGAAATAAAATTCAGCGGCTCCGCTGGCTTGGCCATGTCGTTCGAATGGACAAAAACGCTCCTGCTCTGAAAATATTCAACGCGGGTCGCGATGCTGGTAACAGAGGAAGAGGAAGGCCTCCTCTGCGTTGGAAAGACCAGGTTGAGAAGGACTTGGCTTCACTTGGCTTTTCCAATTGGCGTCAGTTAGCACAGAAGAGAAATGACTGGCGTGCTGGTTTGGACTCGGCTAAAATCGCTTAGGCGGTTACAGCGCCAATAAAGAAGAAGAGAAGTTTGGGGTTTTTTTATTATAATTTTTTGAATTTTCCTAAAACTTGTTGTAGAATGAAGAACATTAGTATTAAAAATTTACGAGAAAATTTTAACAGAAAACACATAGCGATTATTGTAATAAATCACCACATGTTGATCAGCTTGGCGATGAAGTTTTACGATTCATCCAACGAATCCAACAAGCCGCTTGGAGAAGTACTCCTCTACAGAAGCTTATCCAGAACAGGAAATAATATCCCGCCTCTGTCATGGACATAGTATCTGAAAAGAGGAAGCTTCGTCGACGGTGGCAGATTAAACAAAATAACGAAGCAGCTACAGGCGGCAATTAAAGCTTTTAAAAACGATTCATTCAACCGATACTTATTGGGACTAACGTCGGAAAAGACAACCGACTACTCATTATGGAAAGCTGCAAAACCAACTACAACCAGGTGTGCTCCACTGAAGATCGATGTGAATACGTGGGCAAAGACTAGCGCGAAAAAAGCAAACATCTTCGCCGAACACCTCAAAACCACGTTCGTTCACTCCTGAGGAAGGATCAAATGAGGTTGATACAACAAGCACAGCCTGCTCCGGAGGTAACGTTAGTCCTGAAGACGTTTCAAGTCAGATTAGCAAGTTGAAGGTAAAGAAATCACCGGGCTTTGACCTTATTACAGCTGAAGAAACATACCCCATGGCAGTATGGTTTACCTGACACACTTATTTAATTGCTGTTTCGAGCTATAGTATGTTCCCATCCATTGGAAGATGGCAGACGTCATTATGATCCAGAAACCTGGCAAGCCGCCTAATGAAGTTTCTTCCTACAGGCCAATATCGCTACTCCCTTTGCTATCTAAACTCTTTGAAAAACTGTTGTTGGCACGCCTACTGCGACTTGCTAAGTTAGGAGAAATTTGTGACTGCAACATTTGCGGACCCGGCGCCCTTGGCGATCGGAAAAACGGTAGAAGAATCTATAAATATACTACAATCTGCGGTAAATTCTGTAGTGACTTGGGCAAAGAAATGGCATTAAAGAAGTTACCATACAAACCAATCTTCATAAATGAGATTAGCGTTCCCTATGTCAACGAAGCAAAATATCTTAGCTTTACACTTATTGCTAAGCTGCGTTGGGGTTGTGCAAGCAAATCTTGCATAAACATCATGCAGAGGTTTCAAAAAATGGTACTACGAGGTATAGTTAATGCTCCGTTCTACGTGAGGAATTCAGACCTGCATCCCGATCTTGGTATGCCTACTGTCACTGACGTGGTTAAGCAATCTGCCAGAGCTCATCAACAGCGGTTGATATCTCATGTCAACTCGAGTGTTTCCAACCTACTCCTGGTTTCAACATTCCGGCGGCGTCTCAAACGCACAACTGTATGTGACCTGATGGGAAGCTAGTAGCAGCACTTGTATTTTAAGTATTTTTGTAAAAATGTATATTACATTTCGCTTACCACAAACTTTTAAATTTATTCCAACAAAATTGCTTCCTAGTATGCCTTTGGTGTTTCATATTAGTTGCAGTATCAGAGCGTATTAATGTTACCTTGTTTAATGCGTTAATAACAAAAAAAAAAGAACTCAGGTATGCTGAACGGGGCACGTACTTCTAACTAGCTGCAGCATTAGTTATAATACATTTAATTTTGGAAGCATTAAAAGTCTAATATTTTTCTAAAATTCCTATTAAAAGCAGCAATAAAAAATCAAGGTTATTAAAAATTGTCAAACTCAAAAATTTCCAAAAGTGATTGCAGGAACAGTTACACCTTGCATGTAAAGTGACTTACGAAAGCAGTTTTTATTTCCGAAAATCAAACGTTCCGACACTACTTTTTCAACCATTTTTTCGGTGTAGCGATTGTGCTTTTTTGAGGGTTGTTATTACTTTTTTCAGTGCGAAAGAGACAATGCTTCTGATGATTAATTTGTCTTTGTATTCTTACATAATTCATGTATTTATTGTGGTATTTTTTTGTTTCTGTTTAAAATACAGACACAATTTTATTTATTTCATTAATGTTCAGTTTTACATAGAATAATAATGTTTGCTGGATTTTTTATGCGGTTTTTTAGAATTTTTTACATGGAGTACCTGAAATTATGCGGTTTTTGAAAATACTGGAACGCATCCCCTGTTTTTGTATGAAAGTAAAGAAATTTTTATGAACATTTTTTTTATGCGGCAAATAAAAAAATCGCGTCGCACATAAGGACAAAGTGACTAATTACGACGACAAAAATAGAAAAACAAAAGTCTTTAAATCTTATCACACATACTTTTCTAATACTCCTTATAAACCAGTCCACAATGTAGCACACTAATTTTGACTTTTAACGCAACGCAGCGTTCGTTCGTTCGTCGAATTAAATAATTTTTTGTTTGAAGCGATGATAAAATAGTTTCGCTTGTCATTTTGTTCTTATTAACAACTAATAGTTTTGTCAACATGGAAAAAGAGGCGTGAGGTATGTACTTTATATTTCGATTTTCGTTAATAATATAGTTGTTTGTAAAATGGGTGTAATAGCTATTTTATAAATTGGCTTTTTTTATTAAAAAATTTTTAAATTTTTATATTAGTTAGAGTTATAAAAAAATGTCCAACGAGTACAGCAATTTCTCTTCAACAGTTCGAAAATCGAACAAATTGCCAATGTGAATATATCACAAGCTCGTTCCCCCTTTCCTCCTTCATTAAATAGAGCATCTTTTTCTTAAGTCATTTATTGGGACGAATCAAGAATATAGGAGGACAAAAATGTTTAATCCATATGTATTTGACAGATTTCAATGTAATTTGGTATCCAGGGGTTTTCGTTGTCAAAAATTTCGAAATTGATATCAGATTTTATAAATTCAAAATGTTTGTTATGAAACTTGGTATTCAGAGATCCTCGTTATCTTTGTTTACGAAATTGAAATTACATTTTCAAAATTCAAAATAAGTTCAAATGGTGCTAAAGGTAATGCACTGCGTTAAAAGTAAAACGCCAATTGTTCGGAACGCCATATTTGATCCGCCATTTTGAGTTTTTGAAAATATAATATCAATTTCGAAATCAGTGACGACGAAAATCTCTGGATACCAAGCTTCATAACAATCTATACATTTTTGAGGAAATCGACCGCCATATTGGATCCGCCATTTTGATGTTTTTAAATTAAATATCAATTTCGAAATCAGTGACGACGAAAAGGTCTGGGTACCGAGCGTCATAACAATCTATACATTTTGTAATAAATCGTCCGCCATATTGGATCCGCCATTTTGAATTTTGGAAATTTAATTTAATATTCGAATTCAGTGACGACGAGAATCCCTAATTACCAAATTTCATTGATATCTGTCAGATACATATAGAGTAAATACCAAGCTACATAAAAATTTATACATTTTTGAAGAAATCGTCCGCCATATTGGATCCGCCATTGTGAATTATGGAAATTTAATTTAATATTCGTTATTAGTGATGATGAAAATCCCCAAATACCAAATTTCATTGAAATCTGTCAAATACATATAGAGTAAACATTTTCGTCGTCCTATATTGTCGATTCGTTCCTATGTGCATCGCACGGCAACACTCGATTGGTTGGATAGCACTTGCAGCAAAAATGAAAATTACTAGTGCAGCACGAGCAAGTTGCAATTAGCATTTCTCGAATCGATTTGCGTAGCTTGCTGTCCCCACAGGCAAAAGTTTTTATCTTGATAATGTTATCAGGCAAAATTTTGCCAGTGGAAACCGCATATTGCTCTCGGCAAGCAATAATTATCAAAGCTTTTATCTTGATAAATATTGCCAGCAATTTGGTACTTTCATAGCTAACTTTTCATATGCGCGATAACTTCGTGGCGGCAACATTATTGATATTTCAATATAAAAGCAAAAATTGAGCTTTTTTCTATTAAGATATTTGTTATTATGTATTTGGGTGTGAAATAGCATATTTTTTTAATTTTGTAAGTGATTTAATCCGGAAAAAATAGCCACCATCCAAATGCTTTTATCGAGATAAAAAATGCACAAATATTGCCTCTGATAAAATTTATGTCAGGCAATAAAAATGACAATTGGTAGGCAAAAACTTTTGCCTGTGGAGACGGGTCGTAATTTCAGTTGCAGTTACACCTTGCAATTTTTATATCCGAAAGTGATTTCTGCAAATCTTCAAAAAGGACTTTCTGGCAGCTTACACGGGAAAGTAGACTTTCGATTTCACATTTTGACAGCAAAATGCATAGAAAAAGCGCTAGCAATTCTACGTTTAACCGTACCTTAACTCACTGCATTTGTTTCAAAGTAGTCTTTGAACTAGTTGATTTAAAAAAAACACTTTCTTCCATTAGGGTAGGTACCCGTATGCACCTGGAAAATCTCGCTTGCGTGACGATGCATGCGAGATGCCACACGTGTAGACCGCAAAAAGTACGAAGCTACTCTTTCTCGCATACCGAGCGGTTTGCGAGCTCTCGCATGCTTTCAACTATCATTTTTGTTGTACAGGTATTTACTCATTTCGCCGAATTCTTCAGAGTAGCAAAATCGTTTATTTTGGTGAAAAATACGAACTTCTTTTTTGCCGACATTTTACAAATGAAAAAGTATGTTGTCAAGTGAGAATTTCAAGCATGTGAAGACAGTAAGGATCTGCTTTCAGCAACAGCACTTTTTCTTAACTGTTTGCTTCGGCTGACTGTCTAAGCAATAACAAACTGCGCTGTAAGCAAGAGCAAAGGCTGTCTGCTTTCGCTGCTTTATTTTTCTTAGTGGTAGCTAAGCAATTGCAAATGTATTGAAAATGGCCAAGAGCAGCTTGCTTTGAAAAGCAAAAAAGTTTAGCTTATGCTATTTTGTAGTCCGCGATTCAAACACTGCTTACCCCTATTTATTGAGCTAACTTGACTGGGCTAAAAATATTTTGGTTATTGCTTTTTAATTTCTTTAAAAAAAAAACTAACTTGACTAAGCTAAAAATATTTTGGTATTGCTTTTCAATTTCTTTAAAAAAAAATAAAAAAAATATAACTACGGGCGGCCGCTGTGGTGTAGTGCTAAGCAGTGTGCGCTTCCACTCGGCAGCGCCTGGGTTCAAGCCCTGGTGAAAGCACCATCGGAAACAAAATTTAGAAAAAAAGGTTTTTCCTTAACAGCGGCCGCCCCTCGGCAGGCAATGGCAAACCTCCGAGCGTATTTCTGCCATGAAAAACAGCTTCTCATTAAAATACAATCGCCGTTCGGAGTCGGCGTAAAACTGTTGGTCCCTCCTCTTTGTATGACAACATCAAGGCGCACGCAACAAATCGGAGGAGGTGCTTGGCCAAACAATAACATATGTGGAAGCGGCAATCTATTATAACCTAAAAATTGAAAAAAGTGAAATGACCTTTTTGAAAAAAATTAATTTTTATCTTTGATTTTTTTGTAAAAAGCAAATTAAAAATAGCAAGATCGGAAGATCATATATGTAATACTCCTATATTGGCAGTAAGTGCTAGTACCGTCCGAAAACACTACAGTACAGATATATCAATAAACACGTACGAAAGAAAAGGAACACACACGTTTATAAATAAACATGTACACAACTCATATACAAAAACGGCACTCAAGTACACAACACATTGACAAAAACCGTACTAGACTGTCTCGCTTCCCTGCAGGGAAACCGCGGACTGGTGAATCAAATTTCTAGTTCCGTACTAGGTCTTTATCGCCAAAAAGGAACCAGTCCGATAGGCACTAGATCCCCTCCAGTCCAAAATCGGCGAAAAGTGGTACTTTTAAAAAACTAATTTTTTACAGTTTTTTCACTAGAAATCTATATCTAAAGTGACGAATTTAGAAATGGTTCGGAACTATAGAAAACGGGATGCAGAACGAACTAGATCTTATCTGTCGAATTTAGAACTAGTTCGGAACTATCGAAAAAGGGATGCAGCGGGGGGCTTGTTTACTTTACATAGATATGTGTTCGGCGGCTTTTTCGTTCAAATACGCTTCTATTCTGTGCTTCGCAGATGCTTTTTCATAGCTTGGTAATACAAAACTAAAATTTGTGTTAACATTTCAACATCTTGGGACCGTCTGGAATATAATAAATAACAGCGAGCACCTCTGCAAACTCAGCTACAGCTAAAGGTATGTAAACGAAATGTACATTCAAAAAAATTTAATTTCAAATTGAAAACACATTTCTTCCAAAATAACTTAAAATCGCGCCACGGATGAACCAAAAAGATTGAAAAATCATGATGATTTTTTCTTTCGTCTGTCGATTTTTGAACTGGTTCGGAACTATAGAATTTAGGTCTAGTTCGGAACTATCGAAAAAAGGATGCAGCGGGGGGCAATTGACACTTCCTAGGACATCGCCATGTTAAATTCGCCAGTTGCTTGCATGCAAAAGAGATTTATCGCGAACCAGTACTGGGTCTAAATATACTAGAAGCGCACCAGTTCAGAACTAGAGATTTTCCCCACACGGTTTGATTTCGGAATGCTTACACATTGAGAAGTTAGCTTACTGCCAATATAGAAGTATTACATATATGGGCAAATCTAAAAAATAGGTACACTTTCAAAAAAAAAAATTTTAATTTTTAAATTTGTGCGCACACCTATGTTTTATATATCATTTTATTCGTAATCTCTTAATAAATCGATTAATATAAGTGTAATTTATTTTCATCAAATGCTTCAAAAGTTAGACGAGAAATAAGCATGAACTAGAAAACAAAAGAATAAGCTGGGTTGAAATTACGCTGTACAAGTTGTAAACTTTGAGCAAAGATTTTGAAAGTTGAACTCACTTAATTGGGATGTTCTAAATTCAATGGCATGCCATGTTTTATCAGATTGGCTCCGGTTTTCGAGATAACGGTACTTGAAAATTTGACTAAATTTTAACTATTTTATAAAAACTCCCTCAGTTTTGAAGTTATTTTACTAAAATTTGGCGCATAACAGTTTTTTAATATTACCTTAATTATTCCTTAAAATTATCGAAATAGGTTAACATTAACATATAGCTCCAATACAACTGATTACTCAGATATGTGTTTTTGCGCTATAACTCTAACTTCATATCTGAATAATAAATTGTATGCGTGCTATATGTTAAATTGAACCTATACTAAATTTTAACCTGTTTAAGTGAAGGAGTTATAACGCAAAACAACGTCTCTGATCAATCAGTTGTATGGGAGCTATATGTTTTAGTGAATCGATTTCGATGATTTTATGGAATAGTTAAGGTAATATCAAAAAACGGTTATGTGCAAAATTTTAGTAAAATATCTTCAAAACCGAGGGACTTCTTTTATAAAATAGTTAAAATTTAAGCAAAGTTTCAAGTACCGCTATCTCGAAAAGTGGAGCCAATAGGGTGAAACTGAGGACGCCATTGAATTTAGAAGGATCCAGTTAAGTAAGAGCAACTATCAGAACATTTGTCGAAAAACAGTTGCTTTGATACCATTCTCGAAATATTCTGCCTAAAAAAAGGAGCATCATTAAAAGTAGTAAATCAAGGTTTTTACACACTTCTAGAGGCAAATTTTTTTNTCTAAATTTAAACACCCATAATTCAAAAGTTATGTAGCAAATTGATCCAAATTTTTTTTGAGGCTTTAAGTATACGTCAGTGAATTATATCCAAAAGCAACCAGCTTGATTTAGTTTAGAACTGTGAAAATAAAGCTAAATAACACAAAGGTTACCTGTTTTTTAGATTTGCCCATATGCATCGAATAGATATATAATTATTTTAAAATTTTTAATAAAAACGCGAATAATAACGAAAAAATTTTCGATTTTTGAGAATCGAAAATTGATGAGTCATATCGAGAAATTAAAACAATACCTATGCGCTTATTCTCCGAGTAGAATAAGATACTAAAAATTGAAGTGATTCGGAGAGATAGGCGCAGTAGGCTTCCATACAATAAATATGTTTCTGCATGTCTTTTTATACATATATGTGTGTATCTTTCCATACATATGTACATACAAACAATTCTTTAATGCAATCAGGTTTGCATATCTGTGCATAAATCCATACTGCATGTGTACTGCATGTGCATATTGCGTACCTATTCTAATTGGCAAGAAAGAATTTATAAAAAACTATAGCTCAAATCACAATATTATTGCATGTATAAATGTAGTAAGAACGAAATTTGAGTAAATTTTTTTATGAGTAAAGCCAAAGTGAAGTTACATAAGTTAAAATGTTTGAAATGCATGTAATGCCAAAAATATAAGTTATAAGCAACGGAAACTAATTAAATCATTTTTAAATAAAGCAAACTATGGAGAGGAAACTTAAAACAACATTAACATTCCTTTTAGGGGAAAAAATAAATTGACTTTTTATTTTATTTATTGCTGGGAGTACATGCTTTGGCGAATCGACAAGTGGGGACAACTATGTTTGCCGTAGCTCATTTAGTTTTCCTCCTGTTAAACCGCAATAGGAATGTTTATAAAGAAAATCTACCAGAATTCTAGCCCTGTTTTCGTACGCACTATCCAGTAAAAACCAGTAAAGTTTAAAAACCGGTAAAAGTTTTAGAGCCCTCCCTGTTACACGATATGTATTCGCATATGAAATGCTACTTTTCTGATACGTTCTAATATATGGTACATACGAGTAAATACAAAAAAGTAGCATTTACATATGCAAATAGATACCTTGTAATAGCGCCCTTAATGGTTTTTACTGGATGGCGTTTTCATACGCGAATCTTGCAAGAAACTAGCAAAACAGGGGAAATGGAGAGAGCAAAAATTACAGCTGAACTTGCAAGTTTTACTGGATTTTTACTGAATAAATTTTTATACCCGAGCGCACTCGTGCACAAGGGTATTATAACTTTCTTCACATAACGGTTGTTTGTAACAGGCAAAACGTATCGAGATAGATATAGACAAATGCGTAGATAAATGATCAGAATGAAAGGAGAAATCGATTAAGCGGTGGGTGACTGTCTGTCCGTCCGTTCGTCCGTACGTCCGTCCGTCCGTCTGTGCACATGATAACTCGCGTAAAAATTGAGATATCTTAACCAGGGTTGTGGCGAATAATCGCATTCGCATTCGCAACCGTGGAGCTTCTGCATTAATTTTAACATTCGCATTCGCTTTCGCATTCGCAATAATCAATGCGGATCTTTTGCGAATGCGAATATTGAAGGGACCGAAAGTAACAGTTATTTTCTTTACGAGTTAAACTTGGCCAAATATTTTTTATTCTCAACTAAAAGTCCTTTCCGGACAATAAACAAACCGCTTATCCAAATTAAACAAGTTTGCTATCAAATGAAAGAGTACTTAAATAGCTTTAAAACTGAAATGTCTAAACGAGCAAAGTCACCTATTGAAAACTATTTCAATAAAAAATGATAATTAATTACCATAGAACAGGTATGTGGGTCAGGTATATGAATTTATTTAGTAGTAAATGATATAAAAAAATATATAACCTTCGTTCGTTATAAAAATGGTAACCTTCGTTCGTTATTTCTTTTCAAAAGCTATTTCAGTCCCCTTTCACATGATGCCAAATTTGTTTAGTTTTGGTAAGCTGTTTGTTTGTTATCCAGAAAAACTTTCGGAATAAAAAATATTAGGCCAAGTTTAACTGGTAAAAAAATAACTGTTATTTTCGGTCCCTGGAATATTATGCCAGTGCAATGATAAAACGTATATCTGGCCAGTCACAGAAGAAAGTATCAAAAATGAATTACAAAAACTAAAATCGAAAAACGCTATTGACGTTACTGGTTCTCCACATTCAGAAACAACCAAGAGAATGAGAATGAAGAATTCTTTGGAAAACAACGGTGTTTAAACAACGATCTTGCCATGATACTAGATTGTGAAGATGAAAGTCAGGAGGATACATACGACACTTGCAGACCGATGCAATTCCCAAAAAATAATTATTGCACC